ATCTTTTATTTTAAACAATAATTCAAACTCCTATATTTGTTTAAAAGGTAAATGTCATTGTCAGATGTCAATTGTCATGGATATTCAAAATTCTTGTTAAGCTGCTAAGCTAAGAAATAGAATATGCGTGAAGTTAGCTTATATTCTATTTCTTTTGTAGATTGCGCACGCTATAATCACACTCCGAATTTTGTGTCATAGGTGCGCGCGCATCGTAAAATTTCACTCTCATAAAATTTTCATAACGCGCCTAAAGAAGTATAACTTCAATAATCGTCAAATTTATTTAAAGCTTTATTGATTAGTTCACGTTTAACGAGTTTTGAATTTATTCAGTGATTATTCTCTAATTTCGCTTGGGAGTGTGTTTCCATTAAGGAGTGGTTTATCTTCTGGAGCCTGATTAGTCGTAGGCTTATATTTGTTCTGTTTCGAGTATTATACTGGTGAAAGTTATCATTTGTTTTAAAAATGCCTGTGTCATTTTTGGTTTTAGACATGCCGGCACCCGTATGAGCAAGTCAGAAGTGCGGGTAGATTAAAATTAAATGAAACACATTTTAATTTTCAATTTTTAATCGTTCAATCATGACAATATCGTAGCAACATCTCGTGAGACACATTCAAAATGTCGGCAACAAAAGTCGCCGTATCAAAATGGGTTATCGAACAAAGTCATTTTATTATAAAACACTACGATTCAGTTAATATTAGTTATTATACCCAATAGAAACACTTACAAACAACGTTAATTGGTAATTTGGTTGAGGTAGATTCAATTATTTAAAAACTAATTTTCTTTTGTGGGAACACGATTATATTGAAAAGATTAAATCCATGTATCTTGTTAACGTGTATTAATTTTTTCCAAACAAAACTCGAATTAAATTTCCTTAACAATTACTTTGTTTTAGAGTTCCAAATCTATTTCTCAAACATTTCATATTGTCCTTTTCGTTGGTACCTATTTTGATGAACACAAACTCCGTCCCGTTTATTCTATAAGGATCTGACGAGGGCGTGTCGCTTGTCTCCAGCAAAATAGGCCCCAATCTACTTAACTCTTCTTAAACACTTTGTAACAATTTCATAGTATTTGGTCCAGGATGGAGCAGTTCATGTTCCCACATCACGATTTGAAATACCTTAAACGTATAAAATATTAAAATGAATATTAAACATTTTGATTACCATCCAACTTTAAATTAAAATCAATGTGGAATAAAAATTTTAAACGTTATTCTCTAGCGACTTAAATTTTTTAGAAAATCAAAATGTTTAAATCCACAGTACATTAAACATGGGTTTTGCCCTTATTAATAATTATGTATACAACAACATCTCCGTCCTAACACTTGTGGTGAACGATTCATTCCATTTATATTTGATAATTAATATTTTCGATGTCGCCTCACATATTTTAAGTAAATATAGAAATAACACCCCAGTTCCTTGTATGAATTCTTATTGTCATAATTTACTTGCAAATTTCAATTGGTAAGTCCGAGTCTTGACACAAATGCGCATAGGACTTGAGGTACGTCCTTTCTATGTTCTGACATACGACATCACTTTTGGTCTTTTTAGCAGAAATACAAATTATTTTGTAAATTATAATCAAGAATGAATCCTTCAATCCACGCCAAAGCTTTAGCGTACCAAATAATAACACAACTACAAATAAATATAAGCCCTGAACAATCCGGCATTATTGGACGCGTTTAATAAGTACATACCAAACTGGCAACACCGAAGCCAAAGGAAACTCAGATAAAATAGACATAACATTTTTATGACAAACTGGCGATAAAGAAATGTTATATCCATGGTTCAAACGCTTAAAAGCATAACAACACAATAAAATCGGCCGTTTATTATCGAAAATGGCAACACTATTCCGTTAACTATATCGGATTCTGATAAAAAATCTGCAACTGTCTGAAAAAACGGTAATATATTAGTTAATTATGAAATTGATATATCCCTCGATTGTACAATTACTCCCACACTTGGTTATACTATAATAACAATATCCTATACTATTTGTAAGGCATGCTCAGACGTTTTTACCACGAGGCAATATTTCACGCTGTGCGGTTTAAATATTTTTTTAAAAAAACACATTATTTCTTATTTTTATTTAAAAAAATATAATGGTACAAAAATTACAAGTTTTGCATTCGAAGAAATATAAAAATCGATCAATTTCATAGATCCTCTGCGGTAAAAACGCATAAACACCACCTTCAGTGTTGTATGTAACATTAATTAATACTTAATATAAAAATCTGTAAGGAGACAACTATTGCAGCCAATATGGAATGTGCAGTAACAAAAATAGCTATTGTAAAGTGGAATGAATTACCCGTGTAATGTGACCGCAAGGTGGCGCTGAATTATATTATAAAAATTATAAGTTTCTTATTGTAATTTTTTACATAAGTCTTAAGAGACTATAAGCCAGTACTCATAGTCCTTAATAAATAATTAATTGTAGATTAATATACAAAAAAGGAGATGGAAATTTAACGGCTAATTCGGGGCAGTGCCAATTCTTTTATTTGTACTTGGATGTCTACCATCATATTAATGGCATATTTAAATTATTAGTCCTTAATCGACGACTCAGAGTACAGCTGGTAGTTTGAGATTCAGAGAGTAGTAGAGTATTTTTACTGTTGATAGAATTGTGCTCAAAATAATCAATTATAATCCAAAGCTATCTTTCCTATTTACAGAAAGGAAAAAAACGCAGATAGCTTTCTATGATTCAAAAATGTTTTGTAACTTACAATCTCTTGTGAGATAGATATTAACAAGCGGATGGGAGGTGGTTTGTGAGATGCAAAGATGATGAGTCAAAAAACCCTCTTAAGTCTCTGAATCTCGGCTTTGTTAAATTGTCGGTGACAGTTATACTTTTGTTACAGCGCCATCTGTCGCGACTTGTTCGAGCCTTGAACTAAATTATTGCAAAACGATTAAACGTATCGAGGCACATACATCAGGCTTTTATTTGAAATCATTTCCAAGGACGGAAAAGCCATTCTTGTAAATTGAGAATAAAAAATCTGTACAAGGAAGAACTTAGAACGATCCACTACGGCAACTAAAAATGGACCGAGTACGGTCGGCGACGCGCGCGATCATCGTCGCTCGCCGTACGCTAATAATTTAACTATAGTTGTACATAATTCAGGTTTATTGCATTGGGAGACAACAATTTGGTAAATAAAATAAATAATACGAAGTATACACAACCTAGAGTGAACTTGTATACAAAATAGCGTCAAAGAAACTTTAAAACCTAACGTAGCTATAATACAAAATGCGTACATACTTTGAACTGTTTTTACAAATCTCGCAAAAACTATCGAAGAAATCGTATCGAGAAAATCTCTCAATCACACTTCGACAATTTGTGCTCGCGTCTCGTAACGCACCGATACGAGGGACAAAACGAAGCAACAAAACAACAGCAAAATTCCTTCAAAAAACCAACGCGCCCTAGATGTCTTAGACCCTGTGTAAACCTAGCGACGTTATAATTCTAGCCTAAAGAGCTCACACTAAATCTAAAACTAACTGTAATTGAAGTATCAGGTACATAGTCGGCGATTAAATTTAAACTGAGTTTATATTTACAATCGTCTGTGTTATAAAGAGACATTTTAATTCGACACTTAGTTTCCAATGAGCATAATTTATTGCTTGTTAACGAAAGCTGTTTATAACACAAACTTTGATTGGCGTTTGCAACCTTTAAACAAAACATAATTGCTACAGGGAGCGTTCAAGTATTACGTAACAAATGGGGGGGTTTGGACCTTTAGTAAAACATTACGATGCAGGGATATTGTTAATATTATTTTCGACTTTCCAGTACTTTACACCACATAATGGTAACTTTTAGGTATAAAGAGTCACTGGGTGGTCACGAAACGTTTTACTATTGGGTACAGAAAAACGTTACGGCGCGTTACATGGGGGGGGTCAATAATCTCCAAAAATTGCGTGACGTAATACTTGAATGCTCCCATATCCGCGATCCCTCCCACTCAAAGTATAACTCGTATGTCAAACGGATTGGATTTGACACATGCGAGTCGTACTTAGCGCTAATTTACCCTGTCCCGAATCATTATAACTGTTTATTTAGACAGCATCGGCGTCCAGCAACTCCCAATACATTACGACGCCTCCTTCGATATTCAGAATCTGGTGACATCAGGTCGGTATTGCTATTAGAATTTACAAAACAGAAGATGGTCTAGTTGTTTTCTAGTAGAATAAATAATAAAATAGGCTGCAAACGTAAACGCAACCGTACACATTTGTACCGAGGTGCTAAACTTGTACCGAAGGGTTAAAGGAAATTCCTGTGTGGACTTAAAACTATGAAATAAATAATGTTGCCGAATATCGTTGGGCCAACTTAACAAATACCTTATAACCAAGTAAATGAGGTAGATCATCATTGTGATATGGAATAAATAACGAACGGTAAGGAGTTTCACGAGCGAGAGGGTGGGGCCGACTCTTTAACGCTTTTAAGACGTAAACGTCAATAATCTCGACCGAAGAACGCCGACCCCGCCCTCCGTACGTCAATATTCAACAATTTATTAAACTATTTCTCATATAATAGCTGTGTTTCGTTGCAATTAATTACTCTATCTAATTGAATTTGTGTTCGATAAACGGGTGTGCGTTAAACATACGTGGAATGTAAGGGGGTAACTGTAGCTTCTTAGGCTTAAGGAAAATAAATATGTACATGTGTGTGTTTGGTTATTTTGGTCTGTATTTTGTACGTTCGTGTGACGCGGAGGCCCTCGGACGCGTACGCGCCGGACGTATACGCGCGTGCGTCGCTCGGAATAGGAACAAAACTCAGCCTGAGCCTCGAAATAAAGTACAAAACTCCTATCGTTAAAACCGGGACCGGTTCGGGGGCCGCCTACCCCTGTGTGATTCTGAACAGAGGGCGTCGCGCGATCTCAACCGTTGGGCTGAAGGGTGGGTTGAATTTTGCTGTTGTCCAGTTGGAACGTGCCGTGGGTCAATTCGGAGTTCATGTTGTCGTCGGGGAGTTTGAAGGAGCCGTTGGAGCGAGAGGGGATCAGGTCGGGCGGGGGGCGGGAGGTGTCCAGCAGACCGCCGAAGGAGCATTCGGCCGTTCGCTCGGGTTCACGAGACAGGTCGAACGTGTCGAATGCGTCGTAGCGGCGGGCTTTCTTCACTTTCCCGTTTGGAGTTTTCGACTGAAAACGAAAATAATTGTTATAGATAAAATCAAAGTTATATAAATGTCGTTGAAGTTTGTTTTTAAATTCTTAGTGAAACAGTCTTTGGTTTCACGGCCTCAATACTCAATACATCTAAACACTACTAGCTAGGTAGTAGGTACAATATTATTCCAATAAAGCCTCATTAAAGATACTGTTAGGATAAAGTTGACATATAATTAGTAGATATGTAAATAATGTAATAATAATAACTTAGAATAAAATAATTTACAAACGGCCTGTCTGAGTTCTTTTCCCGCAATTTTTGGAAATAAATATACCCTATGTAAGAGTTTTTTAAACATTATACTTACGGCAGGATTGTCAATAATATGCACGTGTCCGTTGAGAAGCGGCTCCCTCCCGTTGCCCCTCGGCCCACTCGCGCCCACCGCCTGTGGACGTCATAACATCTTCCGATATTTTGAGTCTTATCGATAATTACGTGGGAATTCTTAAGATATTTACCGAGACTTTAACGGTTAAATTGTCACACATCAAGTCTATAAGTGGTGTTAAAGATATCAGTTTACCGATCAGTAAAAAGTTAAAATGTCGCTGAACTTGTTCATACAATTTTATAGTTAACGGAGAGCTGATCACCTATTAAGAAAAATGTTCAAAGAAACATGCAGAAATCTGGGGCCAAGGGTAGACAGACCAAGCACCATTGGTTCTTTTGGTTATGAAAGGTTATATACAAACTCAGAATATGCACGATATTCAAACTAGAAGATGAAGCTAAGTTTCAAATGCAGTGATGAAACACATTACTTCATCTTGAACATATCATGTACAAGTAAATTTTTTTTGTTTAAATGTTAATTAGTAATCTAGCTTTAAAAATAGATAATATGTAAAAAAATTAAGACGTTTTCGTAAGCCAAAAAGCCAATTTCTGTCTCTCATTAAATTGAGATGTTAAATTCAATCTTCCACAAAAAAAAATTAAAACTTATCAATTAGTTAATGGTATATAACTAGAACTTCTACTTTCACGACAACGACTTTATTTTTGGAAATTAACCAAAAAGTCTACCCTTATCTCGTCTACCAGATCTTCTGTTTACTTAGGTATCAAAAATTACTAACTAATGTGAATGATATTAGAAACTACTCTATGAAATATAAATATTTTCCATCAATACAAATATCAGCGGCTTTTGTGACATCGGTTTAAAAATAAAAAAATATCCTTACCCTCATTTCAGCTTCTTCGGTCACACCTTGCGTCGTTTGAACTCGACTCCTGCGCAGAAATATATCTTTTAGACCAAATTACAATATAACAAAATTGAAGTGTTTTTGGTTTAACGCGCCAATTGTAAGTAAAATTAAATTCCACTAACCGGTTAGGTGTTCTGTTCCTAGCAATTTTCTTTTTCCTCCAGACGCAAACAAAAATGACGATCAACACGCAAAACACGCAAAGCAGGCAAAAACCAACGCCCAAACCGATGCCTGTCAACACAAACATGTTATGGTTAATAGCTTACTTATAAACGTAAATTATTGCTATCTCTGTCTGTCGGATACGAAATGAAAGAGATGACAATAGTTTGATACTGGCCAATAGTCAATTAATATATTAACAAGGGTGCAGCTGAGTTGCATAAGTTAATGCTTGATTAGTTAACGATAGATTCAGGGTTCTTTAAGAGATTTTCCAACTAATTTAAATGTTCACTAATACTAAAGTTATTGCTATTTCTTAAACGACTCTGGGTACCGTTAGTCTAAAAATGCATTTAACAAGGGGATTAGTGCACACCTAGCAACTATTATTTTAAATACTATAAATAGAAATCTTGAGACGTCTTCTAGAAAATTTATTTACATTAATCGATTTTAAATCGATCTGATGTGTTCATATATAATGAAAAACGTTTCAAAATGTTCCATAAATAGCATGATCAGAAAAAAATTATATCGCAAGTCGGTTTAAGTAAGAGTTATATGAAGTGCTGTACCAAAAACGCCAAATTCATGCTCATTCGTCAAAATATGTTAGTTAGGTTCAAAGAAAAAATTCTGTAGCTTAAGACTGTTTCTTTTCCTCTCTCTCTATCTCACTATTGGTCTTAATTTTTTTATCTGTTCCGCTATTTTACTCCATCGCTTCACTTTTAGCTATTTTAATTTTTTTTAATGTGTCATAGAGCAAAAAATTTCGCTTCCATTTAGTTTGTATTTTTAAAATGGACATTGATAATACTAAAAAAAGAAGTAAAAAATCTATATGAATCCATACCCAGCTGTTGGCCGAAGCTTTCATTAGCGGGTCTGGCGGGAATATTCAGCATCTGATTGCGACCTCCCACTGACACCAACACGTGAACTGGCAGCGAAGGAGTTAAGTCATGGAGCTGGAAATTCAATTCATTATTACAAGTTTAATTACTATTCATTGAAAAATGTTTGTTGTATTTTACAAATTATATTTAATTGTATTTTAGAGCTTAAGAATTTATTATATACTAGCTGACCCCGCTAACTTCGTTCCGCCTAATAGTCTAATAATATCATGTTAACTTTAGTTAAACTTAATTTAGCATTTCATTAGGGTAATAACATTAATACAACTTTTTTTGCAAACACAGAAATGTTTTAATGCTTGCCATTGCGAAAGAAGAATGACAGTTTTACACATTAGGCCTCTTCTCTCTAATATACAACATTTTTTGATGAGTTAACACATGTCTTCGATCAAGATCAAATCCTGGTTAATGGTTATGCATCTCCTCATTCACCTCAAGATCGGAATTTCTTAAACTGACACGAATTCGACGTAAAGTTAAGCGTAGTTTTGTCAACAGATGGCACCACATGCTGTTTGCCTTATTCTACGCTTGTAGAGACGACACTAACAATAGAAGAAAAATACTCTCAACATTTTAAATGTAAAAAACCTAAAATGTTGACTATAGCTAACTTCAGGGTGTCGGTCTTTTGTGACGGAATGCGCGCGCATCGTAAAAATTAACTTTCATCATTTTTCCTTAACGCGTCAAAAGAAGTATAACATCAAAATAATTAAGATTGTGACAACATAATATATGTACCTCGATACTGGTGTCTGTGACCCTATACAGCTTCCAGGTTTCCATGGGCTGTGTGACGTTTTGCGACACTCGAACTTCACCACTCGCCCCCTTCGGCCACCAGACGCGAACATCGCTTCCGCTGTACGAGTACTTCAGGTCTTTTGCTTCTGAAACATAACGCATTATAATTTGAAGTCACTTCATTAAATATCAATAGACGATAGTACAATTAACTAGATATATTTACACGTGAATAATATTAAAGAATTATCACTGAATAACTTCAAAACTCTCGTTGAACGTAAATTAAACAATTAAGCTTTTTATAAATTTGTCGATTATTTAAATGATCCTAATCCTTGGGATTGATTTGCTCCAGTTCAAACAATTTGTATGACTCAAAACTTAGCGATTAAAAAGAGTGGCGGAGTGTTTCTCGCCCGCTCTACGCCCTTGACTTGCGAACTGGTAGTAAATGAAATTTTATAATAAACATATTTTCTGTTGACGTTCATAAGTGTACTTGGTTACCTATATGAAGAAAGTTATTTTAAGTTTGAGTTAGTCGTGTTAGTTGTGATGGGAGAACCAAACGAAACAAAATATGCTTTAAGACTTTTTTTGGAATTTCTGGATTAAAATAATGTGACAAATCATTTTCTACACAAAAACTCCTAATAAAAATGTATGTTTTTTTTTTAATTTTCTATAAAATACTAAAGTATATTACTCACGCATATCCTTCATCTGCGGAGGAACATTCAGCACTGGACTGTGGGCCAGGGGTTGATATCCCGACACGATAACAAAAGTCGATTCCGTTGGCTCTATACCGCTTATCTGGAGAAATAAATATTGAATCCTTTATTTATGTACACCTCGTTACATTTATAGAAAAACAACACATAAAAATTATAAAGGATGCAACGGGCGGCAACCCTAGATAGGAAAAAGAAATATGATGGGTAAAGTGCAAGAAGTGCATAACCAAATCTCATCTTATCCCAGTCTTAATTAAATAACATTTTGATACATTTGTATATTAACATAGTGATATTTAGCGATAAAGACAAAACATAATATTGTCTTTACTTTACGCAATAAACTCTTTTACGGATTTAGTCAAAAAAAATGAATTGCTTAAAAATAATCGTGTTCAGCGAGAAATAGATATGATATTATGATTAGGTATTGCAGTTTTGCCATACTAACGCCATTCTATTATTTTTCAATATTGCAATATACCGCAAATTATTTTTATTTCCTAACTTTCACTGCGCTTTACAACACATGTTTCTAAAATGGAGTTAAGTTATATTAACATATGAGGTAGATAAATTAACCAATAGTTACGATAAAAAGATGTCTATATAAAGTATCGATAAAATTCATAAAAATAATAACATTTTTACACATTTGCATTAAGAGTTCAAATGAAATGAGGTAAATAATGAGAAAGCAATGGACCTCATACACCAAGCTATCTCTTGCATATGAGACCTAATATATTATAAGAATTAGAACATTGAGATAAAATACTTACAATAGCAGAATTAACATTCGTAAAAACGAACGGCCATTGCTCGATCGGTTCCTTGAGTCTCGCGGAATACCGTACTGTGTAGTTGCGTGCGTCGCCACTCCACGTTATACGCACTGCGCTCGAGTTGACGAACGCGTACGTTAAGTTCCTGAATAGTTTCGAACCTGAAATTATCCGAAAAATTTAATTAATTATTTAATTAATATTATATTTTAGTGTATATGTTAGCTCTCCGTATAAATATGCATTGCATTTTATTTGTAAAATTTAAAAACCAAGTTAGAAATTGCCATTAGCTAGAAAAGTGAAACACGTAATATGTAGTAACAATTAAATAGAGATGAAAATCCATGATAAATAAAAGTTTATACTCTCTCTAATCTCTTTAAGAAAGCATCTCTCCCCTTATAGCAAACGTATCTCAAGACTGGATATTAAATTAATTGCAATAATAGTAACAAAATGTATACCCTGACTAGCAGTGACGACATGGTACGGTTCGCTGAAGGCACTTGCGCGTGCGCGTCCCGGAACTCGCGCTTGAACTCGCACCTCATACTCGCTGCCCGGCTCTAAGTTCTCCACTGTCGCATTTGTTTTTAAACTGTGGAACAATTGATAACAGATATAAACAAAGAGAGCCCGTTTTGTTCATCGTACGAGCATAATTATGAAATGAGAATAGACGACAATTTCTATCTGAGGTTTGTAGTTTAATTCTTTTTTTATATTTTTTCTTTTTTATTCTTTTAATCATAGATACTAAATAAGTCAAATGCTTTTTTTTTAAAGTAGGTTTTGTCAAATCGTATTTAAGTGACAAATATTGACCATCACTATAAGATGTTGTTAGGTTAGTAGTACGTAATAACTTAAGAAAGAGAAGAAGAAGAAAGAAGGTCCCTTGAGTAGGAACTGAACCAACTTTATTACATGGAACTCACAACTTTTTACGGTAAAAGCAGTTCTTCGCTTTTTTGCAAATTATGTTTTTGTTGGCATTTACTATTATGTGTAAGCTTTGTGTTTCAACGTTTAGTTTTTTAATATTTATGAGTCATTCCATGTGGTGTAATTTTAATTCCTTACAAGCATTTTTAGGAGAAAAACTTGGCGATTTAAAAGTGGAGAGTTTAATACCAGGTCTTCATAGTGTAATGTGTCTTTTAAATAATGATATATAGTATACCTCTCCTGACAATCCTCAGTGGCCTCCAACTTCCTCACACAAACAAGGAACGTGTACCGTTCGGCACCCTCGCATTGCCATGAAACAGTCAAGTTGCTCTCCATCACTTCCACGACTCGCAGACCGTAGGGGACGGCGATCCGCCTGAATAAAAAAATAACCTGAATGGGACGTACCATAAACATAGCAGATTGTTTTATTTTTTATGCAATTTTTTTTTTAAGATACAACATACAACCCTTAATTTTCATCTACCCTCTACGATCAACCCCTATTTTTTATTATAGTAAATAGTTATTTTCATTGAACTAAAAAAATGTTTCCTAGAAATAATATACATGGCAAACCGACGTTTGCTGGGTCAGCTAGTAATATATAAAAATTGGATTAAATTGTAATAGAATAAATAAATAATAATTCAATAAAATTACTAGAACAGGTTACATCATTTAATAGCCGGAAATTGGATTAAATGATCTTGATAATGGTTCATTTTAATAAATGTCTTTAGTATTAATAAACATGGAGTATTAAGCATTAGTAATTGTCAGAACACATAGGTTCAAATGGTACTCGATTATGTAAAAATGAGTTATTAATACAGAACACTTAAACGAACAGAGTAGGCACAATTCTATAACTGATGGCTAATTTTTTTTATTTCTTTAAGTTGGCGCCTGGTAGATAGTACCCCAGAGCTGGTGCTTTCCTCGCTCAACGAATAAGTATCGCAATACAGCGAGGAAGTGCTGCCAGCATTACTACTCTGCCACGGATTTTTTTTTTTAAATTTGTATTAATTTTCTATTTATCAATTTTTGAATTAAATTTTTTTTAATTATTATTACTACGTAGGTTAAAAATATTGTAAATACTATATGGGTAAGTGATATTACGGAAAAAATATTAATTCGATATTTGACTATATTTAACAATCGTAATTGTAATCGCATTGTCCTGTAGATTTTTAACAATTGAAGGAATAACTAAAGATTGTCATTGTCATTTCAACGATTATCACTAATGTTAGATTAATAAGAATTATCTATGGAAAGACTGATTTCAAAAGATTTTTAACGTATATCTTTAGTTAATTATGTAAATGTTGATGCTTAGTACGTCTACCGTTTCACAAATATCTATACTAAATTGTCTCAATTGGATGAAAGGCACACACGAGATATCCAACTTGGAGACCAGAACCTCACCAGACGTCGAAGTCCTTCCCCGCCTGATCGGTGGACGTCCACGGCACCAGGGACAGATTCTGTGGCAGCCAGTCCCAGTTTCGGGACCCCAGCACGCGTACATACAGTGAGGAGGAAGCAACTGGAAAATTTGTTAAAATATTTTTTTCGGTATTCGGAAATATTTGGATACAATTGATTGGAAGATAAATAAAATAAACTAATAAAAATACAAAGTACCTATTTTGAATATTTTCTTTAATTCTTTAATAATTATAATGTATTCTCAATGTTGTCTATGTCAATTTTGTATAGACATTCAAAATATTGTCTTTTCTTATTAAAAATTGTTTTTACAGCATCAATATATTTCATATTATTTTTCAATTATATTTTACAATTAGATAAATAAATCAGTGGCGCCACAACCTCCTTAGGTCTGGGCTTTAGATTTCTGTATCTGTTTCATGAACATTTGTCAATCTAATAGGCAAGTAGGTGATCAGCCTCCTTTGCCTGACACACGCCATCGACTTTTTGGGTATAAGGCCTCACAATTTTTTCCTTCACTGTTCGAGCGAATGTTAAATGCGCACATAGACAAAGTCAATTGGTGCACAGGCGGGGATCGAACCTACCTCAGGGATGAGACGCACGCTGAAGCCACTAGGCTGCTCAAGTACACTGCTTATTATACAATTACATAATTAAAAAATACTATTATTTAGTCTTTTTATGTACTCTTATACGTAACAATTAATAAAATATTTTAATGCAATTATTACCGTTTAGCGTATAGTTGTTCACGCTCCCATCGAGGGTGACATTCTGAATGGTATCAGGCAAGGTGTGGTTGGGGGAATACTGCAGGATCCACTGCACCACTCCGGGATTCCTCTCAGCAAAGTGACGCCAGGAAACTCCCACTTGGCCGTCTTGGAGCTTCTGAAGTCTCACCGGAACTGGAAGATGCATGTTTCATTAGGTGCTAATTGTCAGTCTTGTCTTCAAGCTGTATCTTTATTTATTTATTAAGAATTTGTTGCATGTAAAGAAATATAATACAATTGACATAATTAAATAAAAAGGAGGAAAACTGGCGGCCTTATCGCTTTCTAGCGATCTCTTCCAGGCAACCACTGTGTGAAAAAAAATTAAATTAGATAAGGTTAGCGCACAGTGAACAGGACAATAATAAAAAAGGACACATGAAAAAGAAAAATTGCACATGAATAAAATAATTTCAGATCAGTTAGTACGAAAGTTAGGGATACGATGTGGACAGGTAATGCTTGTACAGTAGAGATTTAAAGGAAGGTAGAGAAGTACTCCTTACTCCCGTTGAGTACATATAAAACTTGATATTCTAAGTGACTGGAATATTATTTCTATTTTTTTTTTAATTTGCGTAATATCATAGCACAGATTATAGATATATGAATAAAATTATTGTATGAGTTTTAAGTTTTAAAAAATTACAGGTACAATTTAATACTTACTTAGTTAGTTAAATGTATTAATTAATATTTTCCTTTCTAAGTTTCGTAAATAAACCTTTCTGTATAATTATTATGTATTCCATCTTTCGCTATATATTTAGTATAACTGTTTTTTGTTCTATATAATTTATGCTGTAGAGTACGAAATAAATATAGCTTCAGGCCTGTAACATTCTTATAGTAAGATAATTTTAAATCTGTTTAGTAGCTTTTGAATTTATACGTTCACTTACATACAAAAAATATCCACTTACCAAAAAACTAAGAAAATCAAATAGTAGTAACAGCCTTGGCTCATGCAATAAGGGTACGTAATAATTGACTTACCGCCCTGTCCCTGACAAACGACGTCCTCAGACATGTCGCTGGGCATATAATTGTTGACTGCGATCGAGAAGAGTCGAACCTGGAACCGGTACGGGGTGAGTCCTCTTACGGGGACCGTCATCTCGGAGGTTGTCAGGGGCTGACCGGTTTTGGATTCTTCTGACATGTCTGAAAGATAGATTTTAAAATGCTGAAGTTGTACATGACAAATGTACAACCTGTACATTTGTCATAGACAATAGTCAAATCATTTATTCCAATAAGACCACCTAAAAATTTTTGAAGTGAAAACTTCTTTAGCGGCGTTGTACACTTTTATTGGAATGGGTAAAAAATGTTAAACTCGCGTTAGTACACGTGACCTGATCGAAAATTCGTAAGACGGATGGAGAGTAGACAGCTGGCGCGACGTATTTAATGTAATATAAATTGTCATGTTTGTGTACGATAGCGCAATAAATAAATATTGTATTCTACCACATAAATGATAGTACTTTTATACTGATAAATAAACCATTTCGTGCAAAATTATTCCCTAACCATTCCAAAATATCAAAAATGCACACCGTTAACATTCAAGTTTTCACTTCTGTCGGAGTGCAACCCGTCGTTTTTTTTATATATTATAGGGGTCAAACGAGCCTATAGACACCCATTTTTAGTGGGTGCATTGCCGGCCTTTGAGGGAGGAGTATACTCATGGCTCGTTTGTACGTTAGATAAAATATAAAGATGATTCTAGCTGCGCCTTCCAAAAGGTAGTTTCGTGTGGAGAAGAATAGGCAAGAAAACCCACACTTACTCTTTTAAAATAGATTTGTATAAAGCCTAGTGTATCAGGAGGACAGAAAACTCGTAAAGGAAGTAAGAAAAAAGAGTTTTGTAACTCCCTAGTCAGCGTACTAGTGAAGTGTTTCCGAACCAATTCGACTTAGGATCCTTCAAGAAAAGAGCGTAAATTCAAGGCCGGCGCACTTGCGAGCCTTCTGCCAATGTGAGTATCCAAGGGCGGCCGTATCACTTAACATCAGGTGAGCCTTCTGCCCGTTCTCCTCTTAAATTAAAAAAAAAACTACTAAAGAGCTACTTTAAAGCCCATTAAAATGATTGGAAGTATAAAAGCGCAGAAAGTTGACAATTATTTTTATAGGCTTCGAAGCTTTAGTTAACTTAACATTTAGTTCTAGTAAAAATTCAACTATTTATCGATTCTGTGACAAAAAAATCAGTGGCGTCACAACCTTTTTAGGTCTGGGAAAATTTTTTGGGAAAGTAGGTAACCTTCTTGTGCCTGACTCACGCCGCCCATTTTTTGGGTCTAAGACAAACAGGTTTCCTCACGAGGTTTTCCTATGCCCATCCATGGAAAGTCCATTAGTGCACAGCCGGGGATCGAATCTCGATCGAAACCACTATACCAACATTGCTCTAATGGATTCGATGATTCTTGGTTCTATTTCAATAATTTAATTTAGCAAACAGTGAGAATAATTACAGTTCAACCAATTCTCATTAAATTAAATGTGGACTTCATCATTTTACAATTTGAAAGTTATCTCAATAATGCAGTTAATAAATCATTAACTTTCAATGTATTAATCATTACATCGTTCAACATTATCTGTATTTTTAGTTACATGATCTTCCGTTTGGTGTCGCCAAATTCGCAGCTCAAGTCTTCGATTTCCAGCACTTGGCATAAAGTTGTCGTGGACTAAGTCCAAGTTAGACTTCGAGCGTTTCTGAATACAAATATGGACTTAAGTAATGACTTTTGACATAGAGGAGACGGTTCCTGTTAAGTCTCGTTTCTGGACCTCGCCTTAAGTTAAGGGGTGAGCCTGTTTCTATCTCTCTGGTTTTTATTTTGACAATAATTGATGTAAGGGGAAGTATAGACGTAGTATTCCTCACCTATGGGTTCCCAATGTACAATATAGTATCCCGTAACCTTATCCAGGGTGCCCCAGCTGAGGGAGACAGAAGTGGGGCCCGTGGGGGCACACTTTAGGGCCACGGGGGCCGCGACTGCCGGCCCCGTCACTGTCAACTCGGCCCATTGAGAGGCCATCGAGATACCATTGGACGCGAAGCATTGGTACACACCTGGTAGTTAAAAAACATATTTTATATATGTTTATAAATAGTTAAAAATATATATAAAACTATATATGTATTTATAGTGTGCGGTTTAATAGTTGAAAGTATAATTGGTAAGGAAACTGGAATGAAATTGAATCAAAATTGAAAATTATGCCCAAAAACATTTTAATGTTATTATTGGTTTTCGCGATACATTTAAACAAAACTTTTTTAGTCCGCAAGAGAAGTGCTGCAAAGCACACAGGACATCTAGTTCTGTTAGTAAGACCTCTGGTAGTTCTAGCAAATTTTATAACTAAAAAACCAGTGGCTTAACAGGCCTTGGTGCTTCGATTTTACCATGCCTCCGGCTGATAGAGGACAAATTCTTTGTTTTTTTAATTATTATTAATTACTTAAGATGTCATGTGGAACATGGTGTAATGGTTGCAGCTCCTTACAAACGTTGTGTAAAACAAAAAACTTGGCGATTAAAAAAGAGTGGCGGAGAGTTTAATGCCAGTTCTTTTCTTCCGTTCTACGCCCTTGATTTGAGAACTGGCAGTAAATGTAAAATTACAAGCATTTAATATGTATTTCTTTATTGTCGGTTATAAGTGCCTTTGTCTGTGTCTGACATATTTTGTGTATAAGACATGGAAGTTTCCCTTCACGGTACGAATGTCGAACTAATAGATAAAGATAAAATATTTACCAGCATCATTAGAAGTAATCCCACTGATGACCAACTGAATGAGCGAGTGATCTGCAGATGTACGTAGATTGAACTGAAATACAAAATACGAACGTATAACTCTATTATTTACGGCAAAAATATATGAGATATGAATAATATAATTTTAATTGCCTCAATGATCTAGTGGGATTAGCACTGTAGATGTCTCGGGTTTGATTACAGGTGGGAAATTTTTACAAAAATTTACTTGGTATTTAATGGTATTTTTTATAGAAGTTGTTGGAACTAGCTGTCGGTCGTGCGGCTGCTCTCGTGAAATACACATGTAGACGTATAGTTTGTGCAGAAAAAGAAATGCCGGATTTATCGGTGTGGAGGCTTTCTGGCCCCAAATTATTTTTCAAATAAAACGGGGCCTCCTCGGGGTATATTGTCCTGTTCCCAGCCCAGGATCCCCATCCCAAAGAGACCCGAAGTGGAAGTTATGTGAACTAAAATGATTCTTATTTGCATGCACATTTAATTTATTAACAAAAATTTATACTTTTATATTTCATATTAAGTATCAAAATTACTGTCGAACTATAATGACGTAACTAAAAAGTTTTATAGCACTGTTTCCCTTTCCGCACAGACCATTTGCCCATGCTTCGGAATCTGTAAAACGGGTTCTTCTTCAAGCAAAGCGCACACCAATTTTTAAAATGCCGGCAACGCACTTCCGAGTTCTCTGGCATTGTGACTGTCTAAGTGCGACGGTATCGCTTAACAATCAGGTGTGTCTGCCCCCTGTTACATAAAATAAACTCGTTGAATACAAAACATAGTACGTACTCTGCTAGCCAACACTAGTGGTTCACCATCCTTGTACCAATTGATTTTGGGTTTGGGAGAACCCGTGGCGGTACAATTGAGTCGGACTGTCCCCGCGCGCTTCACTTCTTTAGATATTGGTGGATGCGTTATCTTCACAGGTATTGTGAATGTCACGTTGTACGTCTGTAAAGAATATATATGTAAAGAGAATGATCTCTTTAATTTGAATATTCGCGCGCACTGCTAGTTCGTGAGTGAGCCGCGTCGTGTCACGTCAAGCTAGCTGCCATTGTCAAAGATGTAAAGGACAAATATGCTGAGATCGTTGAATTGTATTTTAATCTTATTTGTTAATTAATTTCATACTTAGTTAAGCTATATGCATCGAGAGGTGATAACAATAAACTTTTATTGTCGTTTCTTTACTTACAGGTGAGATTTTGTTAGTCTTGTAAGGATTGTATCAGTGTGTAACCTACTCGATAAATAAAATTGCATTCTTTACTTACAGAGAAACAAATAGAAGTTTTATTTAGCCTCTTGCAATTGAAATACAAACTATTGTCTTATATATATAAACATAGCAATCATACTGAGTATACATCGTCCTATATTGATACCTGTCCTCAGCGGTTGGAATTTTATACAGCCTTCTTTAATAAATAAATAAAAAATTGTAGATAGGGATTTTACGATTACCACTAACTAACACTGTGACACGATATTTTTATTTTTTGACAATTCACACCAATTGACCTAGTCCCATGCTAAGCTGGTGAAGCTTGTGTTATGGGTACTAGGCAACGGATATACATTCATATTATAGAAAGATAGATATATAAATACATATTTAAACACCCAAGGCCTACGTATAACACCAAATGCTCATCACATCGATGTTTGTCTCAGCCGGGGATCGAACCCGGGACCCATGGATTTGCAGTCAGGGGTAACCACTAGACCAATGAGCCGTCAAAATTATTTTTCTACTTAGCCTACCTTTTTATATACCAACATAAATTATGGAACATTTTAGTTTAGAAAGTTAATTTTTTTGGAATAAAAACTTAAGAACCGGATAAAACTAATTTTTTTCATTTTTTAAAATATATTTTTCCAATTTGTGTCTCCAGAAAACCTTCAAATTTTCAACCTTCCAATTAGTCCAGTCATCTTCGAGTTTTGAGCTTAGCATTTTTATTTTATATATAAAATTCTCGTGTCACAATATTCGTTCCCATACTCTTCCGAAACGGCTCGACCGAGACTAATTAAAATTTTTATGCATATTCAGTAAGTCTGAGAATCGGACAACCTATTTTTCATCCCCCTAAATGTTAAGGGTGGCCCCACCCCAAAATTTTTATTTTTTAGGCAAAACCTTTTGTGTTTATTTTTTTATGATGCAGATCATACAAATACATACATACAACCCTTAATTGTCACCCCTCCACGATCAACTCCTATTTTTTATTATTGTAGATAGTTATTTTTAATGAACTAAAAAAAAGTTTCCTAGAAATAATATACATATATTATTGACTTATATAATTATATTGATATATTATTGGACTTATTCCATAGATTTATGGGTGTCGGCCTAAAGTAAAATTAAGACAGTGCAGAGAATTTAATTATTTTTATTAATTGTGTTTTTGTAAAATTTATTCATCATGTATTTTTAGAAATATAATAAAGTTGCTTATTTGGACACACAAATGCTTAGTCATTTGTGTGTCTAAATAAGCAACTTTACATTTTTGTCACCAATTAGATTACTAAAAGCCTCCTAGAAAAAGATGGAGGAGGCCTATACCCGTGAAGGGGTTCCAAGTAACGGTACTGAACGAAGTTAGGATAACGATTAACAAGAAATCTTATAAAAAATTAACCTGTATATTGTTAACATTTGTAAAGATTGGAAATAAACGGGCTTTATTATTCTTATATTACACGACTTGTAGCAAATATTTATTTACAAAACAAATTAAATTAGGCAATCATTACTAGGTGTCCGCTCTTCATTACATTGCCTCCTGCATTGCCCACATAACATACACATATGAACGTTTATATAGCAAATAAAATAGGCATCACACAGAAGACCTAAATAAATCTTGGTACCTAAACTAGGATTTAGCATTTGCATACTTAATTCTCAATATTTGTTAACAACAACAATAGCACACTCCACACACACACCCTCACATTTACACCAACACACAACACAACCAAATTAGTTATATGTACTTAAATGTATTTAGCATTTGCATACTTAATTCTCAATATTTGTTAACAACAACAATAGCACACTCCACACACACACCCTCACATTTACACCAACACACAACACAACCAAATTAGTTATATGTACTTAAATGTATTTAGCATTTGCATACTTAATTCTCAATATTTGTTAACAACAACAATAGCACACTCCACACACACACCCTCACATTTACACCAACACACAACACAACCAAATTAGTTATATGTACTTAAATGTATTTAGCATTTGCATACTTAATTCTCAATATTTGTTAACAACAACAATAGCACACTCCACACACACACCCTCACATTTACACCAACACACAACACAACCAAATTAGTTATATGTACTTAAATGTATTTAGCATTTGCATACTTAATTCTCAATATTTGTTAACAACAACAATAGCACACTCCACACACACACCCTCACATTTACACCAACACACAACACAACCAAATTAGTTATATGTACTTAAATGTATTTAGCATTTGCATACTTAATTCTCAATATTTGTTAACAACAACAATAGCACACTCCACACACACACCCTCACATTTACACCAACACACAACACAACCAAATTAGTTATATGTACTTAAATGTATTTAGCATTTGCATACTTAATTCTCAATATTTGTTAACAACAACAATAGCACACTCCACACACACACCCTCACATTTACACCAACACACAACACAACCAAATTAGTTATATGTACTTAAATGTATTTAGCATTTGCATACTTAATTCTCAATATTTGTTAACAACAACAATAGCACACTCCACACACACACCCTCACATTTACACCAACACACAACACAACCAAATTAGTTATATGTACTTAAATGTATTTAGCATTTGCATACTTAATTCTCAATATTTGTTAACAACAACAATAGCACACTCCACACACACACCCTCACATTTACACCAACACACAACACAACCAAATTAGTTATATGTACTTAAATGTATTTAGCATTTGCATACTTAATTCTCAATATTTGTTAACAACAACAATAGCACACTCCACACACACACCCTCACATTTACACCAACACACAACACAACCAAATTAGTTATATGTACTTAAATGTATTTAGCATTTGCATACTTAATTCTCAATATTTGTTAACAACAACAATAGCACACTCCACACACACACCCTCACATTTACACCAACACACAACACAACCAAATTAGTTATATGTACTTAAATGTATTTAGCATTTGCATACTTAATTCTCAATATTTGTTAACAACAACAATAGCACACTCCACACACACACCCTCACATTTACACCAACACACAACACAACCAAATTAGTTATATGTACTTAAATGTATTTAGCATTTGCATACTTAATTCTCAATATTTGTTAACAACAACAATAGCACACTCCACACACACACCCTCACATTTACACCAACACACAACACAACCAAATTAGTTATATGTACTTAAATGTATTTAGCATTTGCATACTTAATTCTCAATATTTGTTAACAACAACAATAGCACACTCCACACACACACCCTCACATTTACACCAACACACAACACAACCAAATTAGTTATATGTACTTAAATGTATTTAGCATTTGCATACTTAATTCTCAATATTTGTTAACAACAACAATAGCACACTCCACACACACACCCTCACATTTACACTAACACACAACACAACCAAATTAGTTATATGTACTTAAATGTATTTAGCATTTGCATACTTAATTCTCAATATTTGTTAACAACAACAATAGCACACTCCACACACACACCCTCACATTTACACTAACACACAACACAACCAAATTAGTTATAGGTACTTAAATGTATTAAATATTTTTTAATTCCTTTTGTAAATGTTTGAACTTTTACATATGTGTATAGTCCTTGTACCTCGTATCGCCTTAGGGTGAATTATAACAGCAAATGTTGGTGCAATTTATAAGTAGAGCGATATTTTAAAATAACCAGCTGAATGTGTTATTCATCTAAGTTAGTTAGCTTAGTTACTTTAATTTAAAAAAAAGTGTGTGTACTTATTTACATGAGGTAGAAGTCATACATACTTCTTTGGCGTAATAATTTCATTCGAGCAATTAAGAGGGACGTTTCCCTCTTCTAATTGCATTTTTCTTGTCCATTTTAATGGTCCCTTCCAATCAAAACGATATAATATATACTAATCATGAAATTTTACAATACACAATGTTTTTTATCACATTAGTACGAGTTTTCTCGTATAGAAATCATTATTTTGGTTTAAATAAACACGACTCTGAAAAACACTTCACCATGACAGACAATGCAACTTGTCGATAAAACAGAGCAAGCGCCAACTAGCGGCTCAGACTGTTCTACCGACGTTTGAACAGATATTCAGGGTGTCGGTTTTTTGTGACGGTGAGCGCGCGTATCGTAAAAATTTACTCTCATCATTTCTCCCTAACGCGCGAAAAGAAGTATAACTTAAAAAATATTTCGGCCTATAAAGTTTTTATTCAGTTCCATAGTAATGATGAGTTATGGTTTTCATATAATTAAAGAAATTGACAGCATTCAATCGATACTTTAGCATAGCATGCTTTTTGTCGATTTTAAAAAATTTACTTCTTAACAGGTAGTTTTAGTTTAGTTTAAACTCCTTGTTAGCTAAGGCTCTACATCCTCCTCGCCCAGGCTTTTTTAGTTTTATAATCGTGGTGATTAGCCAGACGCAGATGCAGGCTCTCTTTAACATTTACATTACATTCATTTAGCATTCGTTTTATAGTAATTATCATTTAATTATAGGCGAAAATATAATAAAAATAATATCCACTATTATTTAAACCACCACGATGAATTATATGGAACCAGTCCATATAACCCTTTTTAATGAAAAAGAGTTTCACTTATTTTAATATCCTACCGCTTTAGCTAATTACTTGGAGCAAATCCAACGAAATAATTGTTTCATCCCGTTCATATCTGTTTATGAAATAAATAATTAACATGAAACATTACATTTCTGAAATCAGTACACGCGCGATTGTGATGTGATATTTATTTCGCATAAAACAAAATGAATTTAAATTAAGCGAATGATTTGATCGTCAGAATGGAGTCCTTGAATAATTTGCCTTTGAATTTCTGCTTAATATTCTTTTGTATTTCCCTCCTGATGAGGGACCGGAAATTAGGTAGAAAACGTTTACCGTGTTTACTTTTGATTAAAGAAATAATCGGTATAACTTACGTATTTTTATTCACATATGTGCTTTTTCTAAAAGTCTAGAAAGGAAGGTAGTCTGGCAAACTGAGATTGAAAAAGAAATATATATAGATTATGAAAGATTGGGTAAAAGCCTTAAAAACATTTTAAGAAGAGACGGTATACCTTGGCGAGGTCTGAGCGTCCCTCTACAGAGCAAGTATAGACCCCGACCTGGTCAGCCCCGAGGTTGCTCAGACGCAGTACCTCCTCACTGCTCTCCAGCTCGCTGGTTCGAGCCCCGACGAGTGGGGGGGGTTAGCTTCCATATAACCTGCAATTTAATATATTAAAGTGTTTTACTTTTCAAGGCATAAGCTATATTATTTGTTATATATATATATATATATAAAAGGGTACATAAGTTTAAGGTTTTCACCAAAATATTAAGTTAAAAAAACAACATTTTAAAATATTCTATCTCCTATACAATATATTTTTTTACAGCTAGTTTAAGCTTTAGTTACTTCATTATAATCTTGGGCAAGTCAAAGTTTTTGTATGACGAACAATTATTAACAAATTATCATATATGACTTTCCCTAGATTTTAAATGTCGGAGCGCTACGTGCGTAGCGAGCTACGAGCTACACACGGCTACGAATGAGTACTTATTTTAGTTATAAAGTCTGATAAATGATTGAACTTGTTTTTTTTTACTAACTAAATTCGATTTTATACTAACAAATAAACTATATATACATATTACATAACAATTAAACAAAATATATCCCAGCATCTAGCAGGAATCTATACTTATATATGATCTAATAATTAAATATATATATTTGTAAAGAATAAACCCAAAAATGCTGGATCGAATTCAATTCCTTTACCATTAGAATGCTACATTCCTCAGTAACATTGTCTATATTTATTTCTAAGATACGAGTATTAAAAAAATCAGTCGCAACAAGTAGAAGTTGGAAACCATAACTTATATTAAACAGAACAAATAAGAAATCACGTACATGCTGTCTTGGCCAGCCAATCACTGGGCAGGGTAGCACCAGGCTACCCCCGAGTGGTGCAGAATAGTCCCCATGGTGCAGTGGTAACAGTGAAATGTCCGTACTCGTGGATGGAACAACTGTTACGACCCCTTCAGCACTTGTTATTGTCTGGTTTAAAATGGTATTTGATGCTATACATCTGAAAGAACACATATGAAAATATGTGACATATTGAAAAGCTTAGTTTTAAGAAAAACAAAGATGTTTTTTTTAGTATTGTCTTTTATTGACATAACTTTTAGACATAGAAAAACACTTTTTTAACAGATTTGCAGTTATGTTTTATTATAAATTTACAAATTTGAAAATTTTGCTTCGGCACTAAGCAGAAAAAAAAAAAAAAATCATCAGAAAAACAGCGAAATTAGGTTCGAGAAAGACACCCCACAATGCTTTCTCTAAAACCGATCAGCCCACTACCGAATATATCCAGCTCCGGATAAGCTGTGTTCAATTTGTTAAAATCACGAAGAATTCGAACGAGAGGTGCCTGAACTCCTAGGTTGGTTTTGGCAGAAGAAATTTAATTTAAAATTTAATTTAATTTAACCGACGTTTCGCGTGCTTTACAGCGTGCGTGGTCAGGGTGACTGAAGACAAAAGGTGTTGAATGTCAAAAAGTATCGCAGCTGTAGAAAAAGTAGGAAAAGTTGTTTTTTTAATAAATATGTCTTTACTGAGATATGATGAACATTATTTTTTATTCTAACTTAAGACTAATAAGTAATTTAAAACTAACCTTATCTACTAATAAGGATATTTAACATAAAGTGTCCAATAACACTACTTACAGTGTCTATTAAGGGTCTTCCCCTTATAAAGGGTCTTCCCATTATAATGAAAGTAAATAAAAGAACAAAGGTCTTAAATTTCTGTATTTCGTAAAAAAATCTTAATAGTAGACCACACTTCTGTGCCTGACATAATTATATTTTTTAGTGTAATGCCGGTTTCCTCACGATATCTTCCATCACCATAGGATAGAGTTTTAAATGTGCAGAAGGAAGTCTATTGGTAAACTAAAAATGCCACAAACCTATAAACTCCAGCATCTTCAGTTCTCACGTCAGTTATAAGTAGTTCATCCTTAAGCAAATGGTATCTGAAAAACAAATTAATGAATTAAAACAGATAAAAATGTATTGAATACTTAAAAATAACTTGACCTGAAAGGTTATTTGTAAATTGCTTTAACAAAAGCTGTTTATCTCTTTCTAGCAAATGGTGTTAGCGCTGTGATGAATACATATTAACAGTTTTTATTAAAGTAAAGATTACACAACAGGTCCACAGATAAATAGTATTTCATCTATCTAACTAATAAAAACTATTTTAATAATTAACATTTCTTACATTAAAATCTCTGAAACAATATTAGTTGCCTAAAGCACAACTTAATATCTTTGTACATATAAATGTGACTTGATTAAAGAAGTTGTTGGGGAAGATTGGGAGAAAACTGCTCAAGATAGAGAGAGAAGGAGCCAGTTGGAGGAGGCCACAACTCTATAACTCTGTAAGAGGAAAAAAAATATTTCTATAAAATTTTTGAGTGTGTATCTTTTGTAAAAATGGATGAATGCTTCAAGGAATAAATGAGGCATAATTATTATTATTATATGTGTGCGTATGTTTGTATCTCCTTCTAAACAGCTGGACAATTTGTGTGGTTTAAATTTACAATATTCTTAACCAAAAAGTGAAAATAATAATAATTTAATTTACAACTAGGTATTTTTATTATATCTGTCTGTCCAGGACAACGTGTGTCGGGTCGGCTAATAATATATAATAATAACGTGTTGTCATTTGTAGCCCGTAGAAAGTGAACGTAACAAAATACATTTTCTATAAAATATATAAAATCTATTAAATTATGTAAACTATAGTTTATGTTTGGCTTCTATACGATTTATACGCGATATTCTTACCTATAATTAAGCTGTATGCTTTGTCCGTTCCTGAACCAAGCTATAGTAGCAGGCGGCCCCGAGTCAATCCGGCATGGGATGACCAGAGGCTGTCTCAAATATGCCTCCACATTTTGAGGCTGGGATGAAAATTCATCTTTTATAACTGTAACAAATAATATATGTTAAAAATAGCTCATATTCAAACTGTTATAGTCCTTTGGCTATCATAAATCACTCTTAGGATCACTGTCTTTTTTTATAGAACAGAGGGCAAACGAGCGGGAGGTTCACCTCTCAATACAAGAGAGCTCGCGATTGCGTGACCAGCCTCTTAAGAATTGGTGCCCTTTCCTTGCTGGACACTAAGTCGGAAACACCTCGACGGGTAGCTGGTTCCACATAGCGGTGTTTGCTAAGCAAAAAATGCCTTAATAACGCTTGGTTATGGACTGACGGACGTCGAGGAGATATGCCTGACGTGACGTCAACGTAACAAGCAGAAGCAAGAAAACTTTGGAGATTGTTTATACGGTGTTTAAAGAGCTACAGTTTTTCAACAACTACAAAGCCAAGGTTACAGAAGTGATATTATGCAAATATTGTGATGAAGATGGATCGAATATTGAAGGAAATCAACATCAAGTATTCAATCGCCATGACTCATCACTTCTCTTTGATCGATCTCAACTTAGCGATCACTATGCCAAGTAGTTTGGTTTATGTTCTTAAAACATGTTTTAAATTATAATAACTAATTTATAAGTAAACAGTAAAAGACAATGTGCGGTCATAAAGGTTAAAATTAAAAAGAATGTATCTTCTAAAATAAAATAAAGGCAGAAAAGTAAGAACAATATTTGTTCAGGACGTGAGTCCGTCAGAATTATACAAAACGATATATTTCCAGAGATAACATTTGTTAAAAATGCCTTCAATTTGAATATACATGGATTTCGGAAATTCCATTTTCATGTTTGAAAAATTTGTTCATCAAATATATATTTATTTATTAACACTTCGTTGCATATACAGAAATATAATACAATTGACATAAAAATAAGGCAACAGGCTCAAGTGATTGGAACATGTGCACCGAATTGCGGACGACAGAACCCAAGGTCCTTACTGAAAACCCTGTAGTGGCGCCGTCTAACTTCCTCCACTCTCCTCTCTTTTCGGCACTTCACTTTTCGGCCTCGAGGTCTCTGTTACATGTCCAAAAAACTCAAGATGCGTCGTTAACAAAGTGTCGAAACGTGACGATTTTTTACCAGTAACCGTAACCGAAGTATCGACACGTTTGTTTCCTTAGCTGTGGGCCGTGGAGTTTAAGTGCACAGGTGTTAATTAAAGATTTAAGTTGGCGCCTGGTAGATAGTACCGGTGACCCCAGAGCTGGTGCTTTTCTCGCTCAACGAATAAGTATCGCAATACGGCGAAGAAATTTACAAATTTGTTTTAATTCTCTTTTTATTCATTTTTATTATGACTGTGTAGTTTAAGAAAAAATATAAATACTGTATATTTGATTGTTATGATTAGGTTTTATTAAACGATATCAGAAGATTTTATATTCTTGTCATAAAACTGGATCCATTGAAGCTTAAACGTCGTTATGTTTAGGTGATAATCGGATTACAGAAGCCTTATTCGAAGTAGACTCAAATTGCCGCTTAGGCCTTGTTTTGGAGATTTAATATCATTCTATTGACATTGTAAGTATTATGACACGACGGGTTTCTTTAAGGTTCGACTTATGTGTATATTATCAACAAACAAAATAAGTTAAGGACTGATAAAAATTGAGAAAAAATTGATAGATCCTTTTAACAGACAAAATGTAATTTACGCATATACGGTATGGTATATACCGCTGATTTAGAGAGGAATTTGCCTGATTCTAGGCCCTCTGACAGAGTGGAGTATTCACACTGAAAACACCTCGGGTGTTAGTTCAAAATATTTTATGGACACCATGTCAACTATAAGCGATAACTCTTCCATTATAACTTTCTTCTTAACTGTTATTGCGTAACCGTAAATAAATGGGTCTTTAAAACGGTGAATGTTTGCTTTAATTTCTATGTAAACTTTAAAACCCAGTACAATTATTCATTGTTACAAAAGTTAATCCTCTAGCTGTCATCACAAACTATATTTTCATCGTGAAAACTAAAAAGCTTCTAGTAGTTTTTAATAGTCTCCTTGCTGTGGCTTTGTTGTACAAGTTTTTTCTCCCGCGTCGGCTTTGTTCCCGCCCCATTGTTACAGTCCTTTTCACTGTTATTAGTATCTTTTCATTTTTCAAACCCTCTTAACGCGCGTGAAGAGAATGTCGAGGTATCGTTTCGGTCGTGTATAATTTATTAGGCTAAAATATACAAAGGCTAAAATATGCTCAAATTTAAAAGGCCGGCAACGCACTCGGGAGCCCTCTAGCATTGAGAGTGTCCATGGCCGGCGGTATCACTTAACATCCGGTGAGCCTCCTGCCCGAAGAGACGATGGCAAGAGACCGGACGGTATGAGTTTGATTCCATGGAAGATGGGTCGGGTACTGGTATGGGATGCAACCTGTTCAGACACGCTGGCCCCTTCCCATCTACATGGAACCAACTACAGAGCTGGTGCGGCTTGTGAAGCGGCTGAAAAAAATAAAGCAGGCAAATACAGGGGTCTGGGCTCTGAATATGATTTTGTCCCATTCGGTGTCGAGACCCTTGGTCCGTGGGGTCCTAGCGCTTTAAGGCTTTTTAAAGAAATTTCAAAAAGCTTAGTCGACATCACAGGAGACCGAAGATCTGGCAGCTACCTCGGACAAAGAATTAGTCTAGCAATTCAAAGGGGGAACGCTGCCAGTATCTTCGGAACCTTGCCTAAAGGGACTCCTTTTAATGATATATTTTAGTTTATGTTAAGTTTCGTTATTTATTTCAATGTATATTATTTTATTATTATTAGTTTATGTTTATAAGTTTAATTTTATTAATATTGTTACCATTACACTATATTCCAGATTAAATTATTAAATATTTTATAGAATATCATAACGATATCTCATATGTACGAGTATATATAAATCGATGGAGCGGCATCGTCTTTAAGTGAGCTGAGAAGTGAGCGTGCCCAACGCGCCATTCTTAACGGTGCGTACAGACTATATAACATAACATGTTATACAACATTGCTATATAACATATTTCAGATAATGTGGACACTGAATGTTATAAAACATGTTATAATAACAAGTTATTGATATGTACCACAATGTTATATTGTTATGTTATTGATATGAATCCAGCATCTAGGTTTTTTTGTTTTTCTTTTGTTATTTAAAATTACAAAAGTCGCTGCCGCAGCCAGCAAAACGTCCTCTTGTGTCGACATTGTGGATAGCACTGGAGAATAGGGATGTGACAAAATAATCGATTATTAAAAAAATCTATTAAAATCGATTTTTTTACGCGATTTTTATATTTAAAATAATCGATTATTTTTATAATTGAAAATAAATCATAGTCGATTTTTCCACTGCCACCTCCCGACATTATGTTTGGTCTTTTATAACCCGGACCTCGAACTATTACGGATATTTGATATACATCGATGTTTAGAATGCGATACATTGAATACGATTCTTTGAAGATGTATTGATATACTCGATGCATTGATGTTTTTTTTGTAAAACATTCAAAGGATGATAAAACCAGTTAATTTTAGGTACAAAGACTCAAGTTTGAATGGAACACTATAATTTAAAAGTAAAATAAATTTATTCAGCAACACAAGATAACATACAATAAAAAAGACAACAAAAACAATTTGCTACTGAAAAGGCATAACTAAGCATTTATCAAATTTCACAAATCTATCAAAACGAGATAAAGTTAATTTCGATTTTGATTATTCTTAAACGTTAATTTGTGTTTATAATTTCTATTGTTTATTTTTCAGTAAAAAAAAACCATGAAAAATAAGATATTTAGGGTGATTATTTTGAAATTAATTCAAAAATTAGGAAAAAATCGATTAATAAAAAAATCGATTATTTTTAAAGAAAAATCGATTATTTATTATTTATTTACAGCCTTATATCAGAAATACTAAATATATACATTATAACTGTTATTTTCCTTAATCTACGATAACTGATTCTGTGTGCCTACGGGCAAAGGCCTCCCCCATTGTCCTCCATTTTTCCTTATTGTATACCAATCTCGTCTAGGTTTTAGTCTTTCCTGCCATTTCCATGATTTCATCGGCCCACCTTTTAAATTGCCTACCTCTGTTTCTTTTATGGCCTCTTGGTTGCCATATTTATTAATCAATTAATAAAAATCCATTTTTTATGCAGAATGTCACATCCCTACTGGAGAACGACAAACGACAATGGTTATATAACATTGTTATATTGCATTGTTATTCTAATGTGTACAGTATTGTTTTATGTTATAATGTTGAATAACAAGGTTACATACTGAGGACGTGTTATAAAACACAAGTTATATAACATGTTACATAGTCTGTACGCACCCTAAGATATCCTATATGAAACCTTTCGCTACCCAAATTAAAAATTGTACAGTGAAACAAAACTTTTAATTGTTAGACAAATATACTTGTACGAGCCAAGGCTGTACATTATGCTGACTCAGGCTTAATTTTATAAGCGTGGCGATTTCCTAAATCTTAAACAACATCTTCTCAACCTGTCCTATGTGTTATGTCAAAATTATTATGTCAAATGGAAGAGAATTGCTTCTCACGAAACAGGGAATCCTAGTGTGGGGCTAGTGCACTTTCTTTTTAACTAAACACCTTTCTTTATTTCAAAAAACAAAAACCATTTTATAACAAATTGTTGTTAATCTCTTGTAAATTCAGGGAAATTTATTGGTTAGGTCAAAGTTATTCAAGTAGGTACATGAGTATTTCTGTCTCTGACGGAAAGTATAAATGTTTTAACTTAGGGAGACCTTTCTCTAGAGTGTTGACTAAGTTGGAATATATTTAAATCAAATTAATCATCATGGTCAAATATTATCTATTTCCAACAATATTACTAACATACAGGTCAAACTAAAGCTTTGCTGTTGGTTAATAATTTGCTACACTACGCACAAGTATGAAAGTAATCCGTCCATGGCATTGGAACATTGTAAGGAGGTATAAACATATTTTAACACAATAAATACCTAGACAATTGCATTATCATTCACAAACAATTAACAGACCGAAATAATATCCGCCTCGCTCGATACCAGACTTATTGCAAAGCAAAGGCACAGCTCTATTATAATTCCCTAATTTAATATCAACAGAGTATATTACAGACAATCCCTTGTGCAGATGCTGTTTCAGCGCAGAGGAACAGTCACCCACGTAGTCATGGAATGCGTGGCTGTGGTTCCCAACGAACAGAAATATTCGAAACTTCTGGAAGGAGCTATGCTGGCTTAATTAGATTTGATTCCACACTACACATTACTATCAACGCGTTTTAAAAACACAAATTGAAAAAAAGTGCGTGCGTACAAAGGAGCTTCTTTAGCAAACTAATTTTTAAGTCTTTTTCATATTTATACAAATCTAAAAATTTCCGAATTAATTTAGTTGACATTAAAATATTAAGTGTCGAAAATTAATACATATTATAAATTTATTTCTTCGATAGTAAAAACACGTGGCATTTTAATTTACAATTCGTCATCTGAGTTTTCAATAAATTATTTTGCATAAAATACTATATTTAATTTAATAGAAAATTTAAAAATTAATAGAAATTCTCTTTACGAAATTTTAATTATAAAAATAGAATTTCTATAAGGTAATTCGCCCTTCTCACTCTCTCTCAATCGGTCTCTCCCTTTTCTTCGACAAAAACGCTGCACATCTTCGTGACGTATCCGTAAAAATTTTACCCTCATGCGCCTAAAGACACTTCAGTCACTTTAATAATTTTTATATCTTAAATACGAACAAAAGGCCATATAGAAAAATCTGTCCTGTTATATATCTATAATATACTTATCATTCAATTTGGTTTAGGAAGACTTCAATCAATGAACTCGATCGAGCAGTCAAGTGTCAACGTCCAGTTCGAAGAATCGCGTTCATAATTGATCAGAAACTATACGTTTATTATTGGAAACGATTATTGAATCAAGGCTTCCAAGTAGGAAGACGTTCTCATTGCAAATTTATACATTCAAGAGTTCGTATAATGGTTTGAGTGATATGTAAGATGGGAATTTAATTTATGTAAAGCATATCTATATACATATATAAGATTCTCGTGTCACAATGTTCGTTCAAAAAGCAAAAAAAGCTACGGAAGAAAACAATACATAGCAACTTAATATTTCACTACTTAATATAAGTTCTTACATTAAACAAATTCCTATCTCAATTAAAGTTGAATCACAATTTTCAGCCTATTTGCCTCTGTCTAAACAGACGAGGGTCTGTTCGCACGGTTAGATACTAATATTTGTTACCCAACTAGTTTTGTGCCTCAACTAGTTATAAATTCTTGTTGGACTCTAATGGGATCCAAAAACCTAGACTTGGACATTCTATGTGAAAGGTTCAGTCAGCAAATTTAAATTAATTCAAACTTAAGTTTTTTTGTAATAGTTAGTTAACTTAAGTAATATTTAATTTATAGTTTTATTGAACAGGGGTAAACGGGCAGCAGGCTCACCTAATGTTAAGTGATTTCCCCACTCCCAGAAAACTCACAAGTACCTGCTTTTTAAGAATTGGAACGCTCTTTAGACCCTAGATCGAATAGGTTACACACATACACACTTAAATTGTTCCTTATTCGCTTTTTTCCATAAATTTTTGTTATTTTTCTTTTTACATTATTATTATTGTGTGTTTCTGTGTGTGTGTTTCATTAGTAATCAAAAGTCAAAACTCATTTATTCATATAGGTAACACAATGTACACTTATTAACGTCAAAAAAGAAAATACATTGAATGCTTCTAATTTTACATTTACTGCCAGTTCTCAAATCAAGGGCGTAGAACGGAAGAGAAGAACGGGCAATAAACTCTCCGCCACTCTTTTTTTATCGCCATGTTTTTTGTTTTACACAACGTTTGTAAGAAGCTGCAACCATTACACCATGTTCCACATGACATCTTAAGAACCACCAGAAGAAGTTTTAGCTTAGAATGTTTTAAATTTAATTGAAAGAAAACGGGAAGAACAACAGATTAGACAAGCATAGCGTATACCATAGCGTATTACCTTTTATCCTATCAAAAGCTATGAAGAAACAGACACAATTATGCCCTGTGATGGAGATAACATTCATACCACCTCCTAACTTTTTCCAACTTACTTATTACTGTGGCCACAAGAGAGCTCATTTTCATTATAAGCCACATTGTATCAAGAAAACCTACGTTATGAAAAGGTTTACTATATTTTACGTCAACGACATGATGAATGGCCCTCTCGGGAGCAAGTAGTAGAACTGCTTAGTGGATCAACTTTATTAATATAAGATCGCGCTGCGGAGAAAGATTTAACCTTCTTTACTTCAGCTGTTTATGTGAATTACGACTAAAGACTTTCAATACAGTTTTCTACACAATATAAGACGGCGGCGCACTTGCAAGCCTTCGGGCAATGTCAGTGTGTCACTAGATGTTATTCTCCTGCCCTTATGCCTCCTACATTTAAAAAAAAAGGGTGCGTGTACTTATGTACGCACGTAAGAAGTTATGCTTCTTTGGCTTTCTTTATTTTTTTAAAATATAATTAATTAATATTTAACTTAAACAATTTAATAATATTTAATATATTATTCAATTATTAATTAATATTAAAAACAATTATTATTATTATTTATTATTTTATTATATTATTCATTCAATTTAATAACTTGGTATGTTTCATAACCTTTTAACTAAGTAACAATAGGTCTTTGTGAAAAAACATTGCTGAATTTCTTTGAAAAAATAATTAAAACTCCTTTATTTGTTTAAAAGGTAAATGTCATTATGGTCATTCAAAATTCTTGGCATAGCTGCTAACTTCACGCAAATTCTATTTCTTTTTACTTGTAGATTGTCTTATTCCCATCTCGCTCGCGCACGCTATAATCACACTGACAACTTTGAGTCTTAGGTGCGCGCGCATCGTAAAATTTCACTCTCATCAATTTTTCATAACGCGCCTAAAGAAGTATAACTTCAAAAAAGGGCCTGCGTACAAAGTACACATGTCAGAAGTGAAACTTTTTTGGCAAACTAATTTTTAAGTCTTCTTCATATTTATACGAATCTAAAACTTTAGATTTCCGAAACTTAGAGGGAGGGAAAAAGGAAGATATGTTAGGAATTGAATGAATTTAATTTTTATAATTTATTTCTTCCAAAATAAAAACACGTGGCATTTTAATTTACAATTCGTCATTTGAGATTTCAATAATTATTTTGCATAAAATATAAAATACTAATATTTCATAAATTGTCTTTACGAAATTTTTAGTATAAAAATAGAATTTCTATAAGGTAATTCGCCCTTCTCACTCTCTCTCCATCGGTCACAATCGCTCTTCGACAAAAACGCTGCACATCTTCGTGACGTTTTCGTAAATATTTATCATAATGCGCCTAAAGAAGTTTCACTTCAAAAAGTTGAATTTTACTCCTGAATATTTAAGTGTATTTGACTTGCCATAACCACGCACTTTTCACAATTTAAAGTTTACTTACATGGAAATTTAAGATTAACAGGATAACCGAGGACAATTCCTTGGTGGAACTTCACTCCGCACTGGTACAGGCCATCGCCCTCGCGCTCTTGATACACAATTAGCGGTTCCCTGTAATAAAATAATAATATTTTATGTAAAACACCAGGGCCACTTTCGTTACGGCAATTTATATCCACCTGTCACACAATTTAAAATGTATTTAAACGCTAATTTATTTAATACTATAATTAAGATAAACACCGGGTCCAATTAACTAAATTTATTGAAAAGTTTTAATAAAACATTGTAATACATGACCATTAATCAAAGCGTTTTTTTTTTTCAATATTGTTATTGTCTTTGAGAGCAGAGTTAGACTAGTGGCTTCAGCGTGCGACTCTCGTCCCTGAGGTCGTAGGTTCGATCCCCGGCTGTGCACAATTGGACTTTCTTTCTATTCATAGTTCCAGTTTCGGTTCCGGGTTAGAGCGAATGAATTTGCTTATTCGCCGGAACCGGGTCATAGACAGAAAACTTCGACGGCGTGTCAAGCACAGAAGGCTGATCACCTACTTGCTTATTAGATTAACCAATGATCATGAAACAGATACAGAAATCTGAGGTCCAGAACTAAAAAGGTTGTACCGCCACTGATTTATTTAATATAAGGGTTGACGTTTAAATAAAAACTTAATATGACGGACATGAAAATTCAACAACAAATAAGCTGCAAAGTTGATGTCATCTGTCAACGTCAATGTCACTTTTATATCCGTCTGTTCGTTACCTACATTTCGTGACAAACCAAATCATTTTAGCCTGTTTTAGGATAAATTTAGGTATTACAGGAACTAAATAAAATAATAATAGTGCTTATAAGATAGTTATATTTACTAATTTTAACGAATAAATAAAATTTTAATAAAATTTCGATTTTAAGTCAAATATGTTTCGCCAGAAATCGAATCCCAGAAAAAAAGAAGTCTTATATACAGTTCATACAAATAAAGTCCTCACCGTCTTTCACTGAATTCTTCTTTACTGCGCCTCCACAGATAGGTCTTCGGTTTGGGCCGCTCATCATCAAGCGGCGGGGGCGGAGGCCTACGCGACACCGTGCGAGCCTTATCCACTACCTCACATTGTAGCAAAGTGCTGTGAGGACTGGCTGACCACGTGACCGGAACATCTGTATTACAAATAATTATTTTAATAATTCAATAATTAATTTATTACGTATACGAGATAAGACAGACATGAAAGGTTACCGTACTCTTCTTTTAGTCATATCATTTTTAAGTTAAGCATTTATTTATTTTTGTCAAACTGGCATTTATCTATGGTTGTGTCGGTTTTGTGTAAATATGTGAACACCATACATAATAATATAGTTATCTGTTGCATTGTTTTTTATAACACCATGTGCCTATTTTATTTGAGTAAGTTTTTTTACTCTAGGTACATGGTCTTCATATAATTATCAAATCAATGTATACTATAAAAACTATTTTAAAAAAGTAAGTATGGAGTTTCTTGCCTATTCTTCTCCATATGAAACCATTGTAATTTTGACTTTAAAAAGTGCCTTTTTACTAGTAGTAGGTACTAATTGAAATAAATTTTTAAATAAATGATTTGACTTCGACTTTATGGATACAGGGTTTAACTGTACCTGGACGTCATACTAACCTAAAGCTATATATTATTAGTTATATAGCTTTAGGTATCTATATGTTTTTTTTAAGTATTATTAATTGTAGAATTATCGGTGTAGGTTTTATTGTTCAGTTCTATCGTATTTGTAGTGACTGTTAAGCTATAATAATTATGTGGGAAATAAATATTCATAAATTTAAAACACTAAATACGTACCAATGTCATGTAGCTATCAGCCATTTCACGGGTGAAAATACGATTTTGTTCTCATACAAACCGTTGTTCGAAGAAAGGAAGAAATAATTACAAAACTTACCTTTCTGAGTCATCAAATTTAACATTAATGTTAAAATTACGTTTCAATTAAGTGTATACAGGGGTGAGGATTCAATTAGTTTCCGATTGACTTTCTTTTCAAACCGATTTTACCGTATAACGATGTTTTTAAAATCTGTAACCATGGCAACAACGCTTGGAAGTTTTAAGGGCATTTTTGCTACGAATTTATTTCGTTAAGTAAAGCCATGGTTTAAGTTATCTAGTCACTTAATATCTATTGGTGTGCTACCTATAGTTGAATGCCGACCCCTCGAAGGTTCCTTTCTGATGTCTGTGCGTTTAGATACAGTATAAAGTCTTTATAACGAATTTCGATTGATCGAGCGTTTTCGTTCGTTATAGAAAGTTTTCGTTATAGAGAGGGAAATATTTTTTAACCAATTACAATAATTTATATATAATAGATAGGTGACGATGGTGCGTTTAGTAACTGAAACCAAAATTCCCTATAGGCAATGTAATATAAGAATAATGGCACACTTTTTATTGAAATTAACAATAACAAAGGCGAGACGGCTGTTTATGACCTCTGGTGTCTTTCTTAGAAATTTCGGCACCTCAATAGGTTAGTTTTGTAAGCTGATTGTAAAAACAATTAAACTAAAGTATGTTGTTGATGTCTATGAAAGTATTTCTTCGTTATATAGAATGGCTGTGCGTTATAAAAACTTAATAATGTATGGGTTTTCTGATAAACCAGACAATTTAACTCATTTTTACCTTATATGGAGTTTCTCGTTATAACAAATGACGTTATAGAGACTACACTGTATTTGAAACCGGAAAGGAAAATACATAGAGTGATCATATACTGGTACATGATCACCTATTGGGGCTTTTACCTTAGTAATAATTAATTTACAAAGAAGTGAAACTTCTTTGTAAATTAATTATGTGTGTACTTTGTACGCACGCACTTTTTTTATATATTTTAAATATCTATCATATTTGAAATTCGCCTACCTATAAACATTCCTATAATACAATTAGGTAAAAGTTTTACCTGTCATAAAAATTAGTTCCTTTTGGTGAATAGAATTGATCAAGAATTTGTTCGTTAATATAATCGCCTTTGTAGTCAATCAAATGGAAACTTCTGTAACTCGTTATTTAAAGGGAAATCCAACTTCGATACAATCAACATTATATTGTTCCCTGATAAAATACAGAATAATCGGAATATTTTCGACGAAAAAGTTAACTGAGGGATGAAATTTTATCGAATTATTTGAACACGATTTGTATTTTAAAAAAATGTCTTTATTATAAGCACATATGCATTATATTAAATGTGTAAGATTTGGCAACTTGTTTAAGTAAAAAATACCTGTGTCAGGGTTCCCAGACCCTAACAAACTTAATACTTAATTCCATTGTTTATTGGTATTATGTTAAATTATGACACAGCATATAGTAGTCGTAGCTTAGAAGTTACGCGTGCGAATAACCCTGAAGTGTTCAAACCCCATTTGCTCACTGATGGATATTTTATATTTCATTATCAATGAAACGGATACGTGTGTCTACGTGTCCCATTTGTGGCTTACAGCATATGCTCGCATTTATCAAATAAATATAGGTAACTGTAGATTTCATACGAAAATTATGTTTTTTTTTTAATATTTTAAAAGCTACTTTAAACAAAGAGATTCGAATATATACATTATATCGACATACAAAATCTTGGATTCCACGCATCGAAGGCGTAATTAAAAAACATCATACTAATCATACTATCTTTCCATAGAACACAAATATACAGTATTAAACATTTTCTTAACCTACATAGTAATAATAATTAAAAATTGATAAATAGAAAAATAAAACAAATTTAAAAGTTTGGTCCCTGTGGCAGTGTACCTTTAACGCAGGCAGCATTGTCGCTGTATTGTGATACTTATTCGCGAGGAAAGCATCAGTTCTGGGTCACCGATACTATCTACCAGGCGCCAAGTGCCAACTAAGATCTTTAATCAGCGCCTGTGCACTTGAAACCCACGGCCCGAGAGTCGAGAGTCTATCCAAATGGAACAAAGGAAATCATCAATCTATCATAGGAAATTATTTGCTAAATTCAAAAGATATGTTTATTTAACTCAATACATACCGTTGCTTGAATACATATACTATACATAGAACAAAACAAATATTTTTGAACTTAACAATTGGCTTGGGCGTATTGCGCATAACTCAATTCATCATATTGGGTCAACGCTCATATTACGTCACTTTCAAGGATTTCGCAACCATATGAAAACTGATATTGAAGAGGGGTGAAAAAGTAGGTAAAATTCTCAAGGAAAAATAACTATAAAATTTTGTAATACAGTCTCAAGTTAATACAAAATTAGTTAAATTTACTCTTAAAATGGCGGATTAATCCTGTCAGTAATTGAGGAGTATTAATTTTGTTCCACAAGCTAATAATAATAAAAGTTTATATAAATATATTCCTAATTCATATGTAAACCTGCCACTTTAAAGAAAAATCGCTAAGTTATTCCGCAGTAAGTTCCGAATCAGGATGGCGCGCTCCACGAATCACACAATTATTGCGCATGTCAAGGCTATCTGCCATCCTTGTCGCACCCACGTGGTTGCGCACATGGTGACATTGAATCTCTCCCTCTTAGGACTGGCCATAGACCCTACGTTTTTAATTTCGTTGTTAGAAAAACAAAATGGATGCATTCATTTCTAAAATATGTCTTTGTTTAAATATTTATAACATTAATAAATTAAACAATCGTGATTGTGAATGAAGTCGTTTTCATTATAGTATTTTTTGACTTGTATTAAAAATATTTAATATTTTTTGACTTGTCTTAAAAATATTTAATATTTTTTGACTTGTCTTAAAAATATTTAAGTGAAAGGATCAGGATACCAACGAAATATATTGACAGAAATACGATTGATTTATCACTGGATTCGGAAACACTTTTCGAGATTACGTCAATCCCGGATGTTTTGAGCGCAATTGATTTTGGCCAAGTTTATTTTCAAGTTATGTAAAGTTATCATAGTATTTGACCTTTCCTAAAGGATTTGTCTAAGTGCATATTTTAAATGAAATTATACTACTGCTTGATTTGATTTATGGCTATATAATATGTACTTATATGTCAAATATTATAAATGTTAAGGGTCTGTTTCACAATGTACGGATAAGTTCTACATAAGTTCCAAATTAGCTATTTATTACTTATTGGTAGGATAAACACTATTGATGCGTTTCACGACTGTCAGATTCGTCACATATAGTCCATCATAAGCTATGAGTCCGATGAAGTGTCAAATAGCACAATAATTTATCTCTCAAATAATTTATGTGTTGCATAGCTATTTGGTACTTTATCCATACATTGTGAAACAGACCTTAAATAAAGTGTTTTTAAGCGCCTATGTGGTACCTAATCCGTATTCTTAAGCAAAACATTACTAGTAAAAACTAAAATAGGACGTTATATATATTATTATTTTTTTTGAAATATTTATGTTCAACATAATTGTCATGTATTTTAGAATAAATTGCAACATATACTGTTGACAAATCATTTATATGATGTGGAGTACCTACTTTAATAATATATAAAATTCTCGTTTCACAATGTTCGTTCCCATATTCCTCCGAAACGGCTTGACCGATTCTTATGAAATTTTTATGCATATTCAGTAAGTCTGTAATTGGCTACTATCTATCTTTCAAATCCCTAAGTGATAAGGGGTGTCTACCCAAATTTTAGATTTTTTAGATTTTTTTTTGTTTTTATTTTTTTACGATACAGCATACGAAAATACATACAACCCCTAATTTTCACGCCTCTACGATCAACCCCTATTTTTATTACTCGTATAGTTATTTTTATTGAACTAAAAAAAAATGTTTCCTCGAAATAATATATGGCAAAACAACGTTATATATATATTTTTAAATTCCTGATGCTTTGTTAAAAAACAGAATCATAAACATAGTCTAAATTCATAATAATACTTATATTACCATAAATAATCCGAATAATCTGAAGGAGACATTTGTATATTTATATGTTTGTAACGAACTCAAATATTACATGACTGATTTAAAAAAATATTTCACCTAAAGCTATATTATCCGTATATATCTATTTTTTTATATAAAAACCTGGTTTAATAAAATTAAATTGCTAATAAAAAACCATTAAGTACATTTTCCCGCTCAAAGAATAGGTTATCAAAGCAAAGAGCGGTTAATTAATTTTACATAGGTTATCGTGAATTGATATGAGTTTTAATTGTTTGCTTATTTTATTTGTGAACTTTTGAAGTTGGTTGACATATCATGTTTTTTATAGATCCCATTAATTACTATCAGTTTACATGCCACAGACTAGTGTTTGTAACACTACCGAAACGACTTGACCGATTTTTATATTTTATGTTATTTTCAGTGGCGTAACAATAGGGTGGCAGGGCTGGAAAAATGCCACGGGCCCCGACCCAAGAGGGCCCCTGCCCAAGAGATATTATAGTCTATGGATGAATGTGAAGTCTCCAATACGTATTGGGCTAGCGTGGGGACTACAGACCATTCCCTCTCGCCTAAGAGAGGAGGCCTATGGCCATTAGTGGGACATATACAACGTGTAATTGAGTACGCTGAAAATGTCGAAGTTTAAATATTAAAATTAAACTGAGTACAACGTGACCCCATCAAAAGAATTTGCCACGGGCCTCAGATGGTATAGTGACGCCACTGCAACTGGTTATTTGATAGGTGGTAAACCATTTTTATGCCCCTAAATTTATTTTCTATTTTGTAGACCAAATTTTGACGGTCCCCCACTCTTACCACCAACCCCCATTTAATCCCTTAATTTTTCGTTGATAACGAGACATAAGATAGTGGAATTGCAAAATGGGTACATTATTTATCTTATTCACTCTTGGATAAATAATCTTCTTTTTTTTATGGACACTCTCGATGCCAGAGGGCTCGAGTGCGTTGTCGGCCTTTTAAGGTACGCTCGCTTTAATTGGGACGCTCTTTTTTTGGTTCCACATAGTAGTGGTGCGCGACAAAAATAGTAATACATAGTTCTAGAACATAAATGATTTTTTAATGTGTTTTGCGTATGCATATATATGTTATCTATGTTATTAACTGCCATAATGATTAAATATTTATTAATTAAAGCATTATTTGCCTGTTTCATGAGGAAGATTACAACAAAACGATTCCTACAGTGCACAGTAACATACAAAGTTATCAATACGAAATAAAAGCTCTTGCAACACAATTCCTGAATCCGTGTTAGTTTTTTAGTTTTTAGTTTATTTATTTTTAATGTATTATTTTAGATTAGGGTTGGTGATTCTATATTTTTTTATAAGAATTGGTTATGCACTTCTTGGACTTTACCCATATTTCTTTTTTCCTTACTAGGGTTGCCTGGAAGAAATCGCTTGTTAGCAATAAGCCCGTGGCATCCCTTATAATTTGTATGTGTTATGTTATATATTTTTCTATAAATGTGACGTAGTATAAATAAATAACAGAAAACAATTTATTGAGACATATTGTACGATACAAAAAAAGCTTTTTAACAATGATATTGACGAAATAACTAAAACTAAAATCTTAGTTTTACCCACCATATACCATACCAAATAATGCTAATGTCTATTTTGCAAGTTTCTATGCTCTTCAGGCATCACATGAAAGCTGAGTATCGCAGAAGATGCCTTTCAGCTAATGGGAAGAATCCTTTGGGCATAGCTATGCTCGAATATCCCGAGCTGAGCTGTCCAGGTCAATCATACCAACAGCTAGATTCTTGGAAGTCACAGAGTACCGATGCTGACCAGAGCCCTGACATCAGCACAACGGAGAATGAGAGAACTACATTGAAATTTCATACAAAATCGTCGGCTATCGCATCTATCTATCCTCTATCGTCTCTTTTATTCATAAATATCTTTAAACAAAAGTCGACCAAATGACCTTTTAGCATCGCTTCTACGCGTAATCTTTCAAATGAATCATTTTTAGGCAAATTATCACATAGACAAACCAATTAAAATTGTTAATTCCTTAACAACATCCGGATCTAATATATAATTAGGAAAAATAATTAGGACGCTTTGATAAAAAAACTAGAACAATTATAATTTATAAACAGGAATTGTGTGCAATTAATGTTTTCATAAAACGATGAATAAAAATGTATTTATTTATAATTAGTCGAGCTATTCAAAGGGGGAACGCTGCCTGTATCTTCGGAACCTTGCCTAAAGGGACTCCTTTTGATAATATATTTTAGTTATTAAAATGTATCGTGGAGTGATCTAGTTATCATCATCGGACGTCGAGGCAGAATACGAAATTCCACCCGTATTATGTCTGTCGTTCCAGAACTGAGCGTTTTTTAAGGCAGTTTTTGCTTCACCAATATGTGGAACCAGCTGCCAACTGATTTCCGAACCAATGCGACGTAGGGTCCTTGAAGTCAAGAGCATGCCATTTCTTTAAAGGCCGGCAACACACTTGCGAGGCTGCTGGCAATGTGTGTGTCATAAAAAAAGATACCTTCCAAGGGGTGATGAGATTCATTTGAGACAAAATAACTAGTTAAACAAGTTTCTAAAAAGACAAGATGAAGTTACTTCATCATCGGTAGCGCTGGTGACGCAACTTGGAATAGGATGACAGAACAAAATAAAATGTTATATCTGTATTATAAAAGCGTTATAGAGTAAAATAGGCCGTTATTTTAAATGACCGACAACGCACTCGCAAGCCCTCGCAAAAAATATTTAATAAAAACCTGTCATTCGAACTCTTCGCGATTATAACAAAATAAACACTTATTTTAATTTATGAACATAAAATAATGTATGTTCATGAATTGCCATGTATTTTATGATAGAATACATGATGTGGTATACTTTAAGAAATAAAATAAAAGCCCAAATCAGAATTCGTCGAATCGACAATGATGTAGCATCCTTCCAAAAAAAAATTTTCGTCTGTCTAATTCTAAAACTGTCACAGAGACTGATCGAAATTTAATATATATACATATATTTGTCCAATTAAAGAAATATTAATATGTAAAAACCTGCAGCGACGCCATCTTGTCTAAAAACTATTTTGGCGGGTTCTTGAAATTATGTTTAATTTGAATTGAAAAGCTAATACTAAAAAAAAACAATTTTTTATAGGTTCCATAGTTTAGGTTATCAAAATCTTGTCAATTACCGCATATAAAATCGAGGGCCCATTTAATAAGCTGTGCTTCTAGCCACAGATCAATACGATATTAGTAACGGAATATTTGTATCCTGTGGCATCCCTGCACATTCTTGAGCGAGTGTCCACTTATTGATGTAGGTCAGCATCCATCTCGCTCTCTCGTGGGAAACGGTAGCGCCATCTCACTCTCGCTCGGTACCCTTGTGCCGTTAGCTGCATTCTAACGCAGGAATGCATTTTCAATGGCCCCTCATTTCCCCATAGATAATGATGTAATCGCTAAAATTTAATTAACATTCCTAAAGCGGGAGTCATTTTTGCGATAGGGGAATTATTATAGCGCTTCCAGGGCTTGGCTATGGAGATTATAATTATTTAAAAGCGTGGATATAATCTATGTATATATTTTTTTATTTCTCTGGTGAATCGTTTTTAGTCTATGGTATACTTATAAGAAAATTCACTGAAACAGGTGCATGTGAAGATCAAGGTGAAGATTCTTTTGGAGGCATGGAACAAATCAATACAGACATACATACAATATTTAACATACATTTTTTAATATTTGTGTGGCCAACAGTTATTATATAATATATATAACAACAAACGAGCTCGCCTGATGTTAAGTGTTACAGACGCCCGTGGACACAACACCAGAGACTCGCGAGTACGTTTCCCGCCTTTTAAGGATTGGTACGCTCTTTTATTGAACAACCCTAAGTCATGTTAAGTGATACCGACTCCAATGGACACAACACCAGAGAGACTCACGAGTGCGTTGCCGGCCTTATAGAAATTCGTACTCTCTTTCAAGTCGAAGACTAAATAAACATAATAGTTAATGTATAAACCGGCCTACTCTAGTAAAATATAACCTGTGTATTTGGGTCTGTGAATGTATCATATCAAAAGTCGTATGAAAACACACACAAAAGCAGCCCTATAGCCTGCTTAATAATTAACATTCAATTAGAGGACGATAGGAAAAAGTTAACGTTATTATCCCAACCCATATTTGGCGTTGACACAATGCATGACGTAACCACAACTGCATTGCAAATTGCATACTGCAGTGCGATCAATTCCCGCACCAAGTTCATACTGAATATCACGATTCACGACTCTAATTTACACTTCGATACATTTATACAAAAATAAATAAGATAACACATAAAAATTATAAGCGATCTCTTCCAGGCAACCCTAGTAAACAACTATAAAGAGAAATATGATGGGAAAAGTGCAAGTGCTTAAACAAATCTTATAAAAAAATTATACAATCATCAACCTTTAACTAAAATAATACAAAAATATCATAAAATAAACTAAAAGCTCAACTCACGGATTCATGAAATGCAAGAAGCTGCAACCATTACACATGACATCTTTATGTAATTAATAATAAAAAAACAAAGATTTATCCATTATCAGCAGGAGACATGGTGAAATAGGAGGAAATAGGAGCACGCACTTACATTCTCGTCAATAGTTACAATGTTATCTGGAACAATTCTGTAATGTTATTATTTCTTAAACTTTGAGAAAGATTTTTCTGGATGAAAATTTGCACGGAAATGCCTATAAAATAGTGTATATTCCGGAAAAGCGAACAGTCTCTATGGGGTAGCATAGCAACATATTCTATAATATGTTGGTACGCAGTGGCTAAAATGGCTAATTAAAAAACATAAAGGCGAAACGATATTCGCGGGGAAGCTTATTAATAACATTGATATAGGATATTATAACCTTGCTAAGCAAAGAAGGACATATATATAAATAAGAGTTAATCTAAATGCGGTTTAATTAAAATATCTACATATTTAATACCTAATTTAGTTGTAAAATAAGATAGAAACTTAATTTTATTTAAGTAGTAATTGTTTATTTAGTTGTAAAAGCTTGAATTCATATATGTTTTTTAGGACAGGGATCAAACGTGGGCCACTTTGGATATAGTAAAAACCGCAACCTATGGAGAACTGAAACTGGGGGGGGAGTTAGCTTGTGTGTTGCCGACCTATAAGGGAATGACACGCTCTTTTCTTGAAATAGTATTTATTCGTCTAATTGTGTTTATAGCTTGGTTAAAACAACAGCTCCATGCAACTTCCTCACAATCGCCGCAATATATTAAATACTTCACTCAGGCACTTTAAATATATGCATTAAAACGAATTATTCCAGGAATTTTGGCATATGCCACAAATTGCATCCTGTTTTGTCATTTCCGTGTGTGACGTCACACAGTAAATGACAGCTATTAGCCGCGAATTAGTAGGGTCAATGGCCGACAAATGAGCAAAAAGAGCAGTGTTGGCCTAGTGGCTACAGGGTGCGACTCACATCTCTGAAGCCGTAGGTTCGATCCCTGTACACCAATGGACTTGTCTATGTGTGAATTTAACATTCGCTCGAACGGTGAAGGAAAACATCGTAAGGAACCTTGCCTTAGACCCAAAAAGTCGAAGGCGTGTGTCAGGCACAGGAGGCTGATCTACTTGCCTATTAGATTGACAAATTATCATGAAACAGATACAGAAATCTGATGCGCAGACCAAAAGGTTGTAGCGCCACTGTTTTTTTTAATGTTTTTTCACAGTAGAATCATTTTATATTATTATTCTAGATCAGATTACCATAGGTTTGATAAGAATAGAGAGTAGATTTGATAAATCTTATCTATATAATAAAGTGGAATTTATGTTTGTAACGATTAAAATCTAAAACCGATTCCAAAAATTCCACCATACAACGCATATTTATTTAAAACAAATTGTACACAATCTGTATACAAACGCTATTTATCAATATCTAAGTTTCTATTTTAATTTTTATACGAGCCTACGGGAAGCCCAAAAGGGCATTAATCGCAGCCTATGGGCATCACAGAGCGTGCGTAGCCGGCTTTTGAGGGTAGAGGGTAGAGTATACACCTTCCTTAAGCAATTGGAAGACGGGAAGACGATACGATTACACAGTAAGCAAAATAAAATGTCTTATGAATTTATTTAATTATTAGAATTTGGTACTCTAGTACATAAATAAGTACATGGGCAGATATTTGAACGTAGTACCAATAAAATATATTATTTTATGTATGTAACCCCCTGTTACAAACCCCTGGTGCAAACGCGCAGGAGGCTCATCTGATGATAAATGGCCAGATAGCTCGCAACTGCGTTGCCGGCCTTTAAATTACTCTCGTTAAATTCTTTACAATTAAAGCACTATTGTTTTTATATCACTAAACAACATACACAAATAAATGAACAAAAATATTTCATAGCAAATAAAAATTTCACCCGCCCGGGGGTTACATAATTGGTGGTATGACGTCACCGAGTTGTGACGTCAATGGGTTGATGTATTCATGGATATTGCACGCACCCGAGCCACTGATCCTGCATACAAAGTAAGCTGGGATATTACAAATACCCCATACATCCCACTTTGATACGGGAAGTTATTGAACGTGGCTTCTTGGGACTGAAAGGTGCTTGGAGCATGCAAATTAAATGCAATTTTATCTAAGCCTGTATTTTCTCATGTCATAAGAGGAAACCAGCTTGGCTAAGAAAGTGAAAAACTCTCAAGAGATATGCCATGAACATCTTAAAGTTGTTAAAAATAAATAAATCACATTATACAAACATAATTTTAGATGGACAAACATATTTTAAGATGGACAAACAAAGATTTGGAGAATCATAAAAAATTAATTGATTTATCGTTTACATTTAAGATA